AGAGTATATATTCTTGGGTATTTTTATATAGGGTAGGGTGTGTGTATTGTTTTGTGTTTTTTGATACGTACTTTATTTTGAGGGGAACGATCAACATAAATAAAGGCCAAATAAATATCGAATTTCATATGTCTACTATAGTGTTTATACGTATTACTAAAAATTGACTTATTTTTTCGTTTCAGTGATGCATTACTTTTCTATTGTCGTGATGATGATAGTGGCACCAATCCGAGATAAGGTTCTTAAAGAACAACCGTTTCGCTTCCGACAATTGAATTATGAAAATCAAAATCAAAATCCATAATGTTGAGTTGGAGCAACTACACAGAGCGTGAAGATCCAAAGTTTTTTAAAGCAAGTATTAGTATCGACCCTATCATCAAGACAGTAATTTATACATTGAGTTGTTAGGATCTGCTAAATAATTATCACGATTTCAACGTTTCAAAGAGGTTGGAAATGAATTCGGGTGCCTTTTTCACCTTCTCTTCACATCACAAAAAGACACCAGAAAAATTTGACACGCTATATAACAAATGATATCAAGTGACATATGTCATCATCAAAATGACGTATGTCATTATAAAATGACATATGTCATATAGTCACATGTCATTTTTAAATGACACTATTTTAAATGACATTGTCATTTGTGTCATGATTTATGTCATTTGAAAAATTTTGAAATGACATTGTCATTTGCCAACCCTGCTTTCAAGTAATTTTTGAGTAAGGATGCTTGCCTAAATCCTTTCAGAAAAATATTGTCATAATTTCGACAGGTTATACACTAATTATTAATTAGAATTTTGACATAATTTCGGTTACGACGGATTTCAAAATTCATCAGAATTTCAACAAGTTATTTACTAATTGTTTATTATAATTTTGACAGAATTTAGACAGTCACTAAGAGATTTCAGCAAGCAACCTTAATTTTTGAGTAACTTTTGAGAATCTGGTTTGATGGTCAGTTGATTAGAGAATTAGAGATATAATTTGTATTATATTGATTAGCTTATATATTTTTCTTTTCAATTATCATTTTTTGATTGCTAAATGAGATATGAAGTGTCAAATTTGCAATCTATTTATTTGCTATAGATGTATCATAATTTATTCACTCACTTTTTGATTGCTGGTCAGACATATGCAAAGTACCAGTATTGTACTATTTTTGCAATCCTATCTTTCATGACCATTTTAATTACTGAGGATAAAGCATGAAGTGCTGAATCAATAATTCTGACATAATGTGTTATTTTGTTAATTCTGTCTTTGCAATATCTCTGGAATGAGGTGAATTAGTAATTCATTCAAGTATAACTTTTCTTTTTTCTTTTCTATATATAATTCTGTTTGAGTGAATCACCAAAATTTCATGCATTTTGACATTTAGACTTTTTTTCTGTATAATTACTACTTCAGAATATTATTGTATTATCTCTAGTAATAATATTATTTAGTATATTTATTGTATACTCTTGCTAATAGTTGGATGAGAGACCAGCTTTATATACTTTTTTATTTTATTTTTGAGTCATATATATTACATTTTTTATTTTGAACTTTCCAAGTTTCTCTGTTATTTTATACTGCTTTCTTGTATATACATCATGCTACTTGTGCAAAAAAATCCTGGATCTCATTCACTTGTTTGTTCTGAACTGCTTGAATTAATTTTTAGTAATCTCAAGATTAAAGATATACTATATTCTTGTCTTACTGTGAATTATCAATGAAATTTTGAAGTATTTTAAAGCAAAAAGAAAGGGAATTTCATAAAGATCTTGATTTTATAAAATATCAGTTAGACTGGAGTAAACAAGAAATAATCATATTCATATAATTCTTTATACTCTGTATTATAATTGGATTACAACAGAAGAAGAAATTACAAATGTTCATGCAGTAATCAAATCTCATATAAATAATCTTACAAGAATTCTTCCCTATCTTATTAAGTCTTCTGTTTTATGAAATAAATTTCATGTACAATAACAAAATCTTTATAAACAGATGAAAAAATTATTGAAAGATATCGATCTACTTGATAATATTGTTATAGCGATTCTGAATAGTGGATTTCACTAGAAATCACTATAAGCATTGTTACGATCAGGCTCCTTGTGGATAATATCGTAATATAGGTATTCAACCAACGTCTAACAACGGTATTTTATGGTTACTTGATCTCGACATAATCAGTGTACTTCAGAATTGCCACGCAGTGCATTTTCTTCTATCTGTTAGATAGGCTCTCACTATTACTAATAGATATTCTATCTACTTAATGTGGGATAGTCCTATAGCAATACAGTACTGATATTCTATAGCAACTTGGCAGTTTGTCCAATAGTGCGCAATAAATACAAGTATTTTAATAAGTTATATTTCAATTAATTAATGTACAAATTTCATTAACAATAAACAAGGAACAGTTTATTGACTAGCTAGATTTTTTGCAGTGATCAATTGATTAATTTATTTGAGAGATAAAAACTTTTCATTATATAGCTAATTATTTTATCATACATGTTATAGTTCTTTTCATCTCATTACAATATGTTACATCTCATTACAACATGTTGCAAAACATTATTACATGTTACTGAACATTACAACATGTTACTAAACATTACAACATGTTGCTGAACATTACAACATGTGTCAAAAATATTATGTAAATATTGTTATGTAAAAATAATAAAGTATAAAATAAATAATAATGATAATGATAATAATATATAAGAATATATTGATTTGTAACAATATGTATTTATTTAATTACTAATTAGCTAAAAAGTAATTTAAGAAATCTTCTTATAAATTAATGTATATTTAATAAGATAATTACAACAATGATTTATAGACAAGTAAAATATTATAAATTCAATTTATTAAATCATTTCAACAATATGACATCACAATATGTAAGAGATCCAAACTATAAATATGATATTATAAATATGTAAGAGATCATTAATATAATATTACAATATGTAAGAGATTATAAATATAATATTACAAATATGTGAGAGATTATTGTTATACATTTTTCACTAATAGGATAATTAGCTAATAAATGCAAACAAGAGTTGGGAGAGATAATTAAACAATATAAGAGAAATGTGAAAATATTATCTAAGTCCTATGTCAATTTCTACTGAAATTGTTATAGTTTGAGAGGAAAAAAGAATAAAATAATAGTATTTCAATTAGATATAGTGTTCCAAATAATCATATTAACTAATTAATTTACAAATTATTTAATTGAAGAAATTAACAATTAACTAACTAATTAAATAACAAAAATAACAAAAGTAATGAAAATTTTTTCACTTCATTCTTCTCTCAAGAAAGAGATTATGATGTCTTTAGTTAAGAGATTCCAAATAATTCAATTATTACAAAAATATCAAAAGACTAGTCTATAACAAAAAATCAATTCAATAATTTAATATCAACATTTTGATCAGCTTAATACAGTCTCAAAACTACTTGTTTACAAGATTTAAAATGTACTTTTGAGAGAGAAATGCGAATTATTTAAGTGTTAAAAGATATTTGTTTTTATTATGTTATTTATTTAATAAAACTTTTGATATTCTATTTATAAAATTAACTAACTTGTGTTTTTTTTCTATAATTCTTTTTTTATTTTATTTCTTATTCTTGTGCAAATATACTTAATAAGTTAATATATTTATTGTTATTTATTTTTTAATCATGTATTTTTATCTTTATTTATACTTATTCTTTCATATTACTATAGCAAATTTTAATTTCTTCACTTTTTTTATTTAAATATATTATCTAATAATTTGTAATATATAGAATTTCAGCCATTACTAAAAATAAAAAATGCATTATAAAAATTTCAAAGCTTGAAAAGTTTATAAATATATTATAAAATGCTTAAAGAATCATTATATTAGAAAAATATAATAAATAATTAATATTAATTTATCTGATTCTAATAGATCCTGAACTTGAAAATCTAGTATATAACTAAATTATTATGGCTAGCAAGTAATTATGCTGAAAATTATAAAAGTAATTATTAGAAATAATATTTTAAATACTAAAATTAAAACAGATATCAAATATATTATAAGAATAAAAATATTATTTCAGTTTATGTCATTTTAATATAATATATAGAGTAAATTTCTTGCTAAACACAAAAATATTTTGCTAAAAAAAGTATTAACAATAATTATTAAAGATTATGACATGGATCTTAAGGATTTGACTATTTTTCTTACAATTAATAATCTACAAAAAGTAATAAAAAATAAGAAAGATAGAAGAAATAAAGATTTTTTATTTTATTTTTGTCTTATAACAATTGCAAATTTGGTTCAATCTGATTTGAAAATTTCATTCTTGGAATCTGCACAGTAACTATGCACTAATCTGTTGAGTATTATCTTGTAGACTTATCTCAAAAACATATCTACCTTCTAGTTTATCACTATAAGTATCAATATGTTATGATCAGCAGCCAATTTTTACTGATTACCCTATTATCGATATGCTGGTTAATAATATGACTAAATATGAATATTCTCTAGAAATATTGAAATATATTCTTAAAGATAAAGATATCAACAAAAATAATTTTATAAATTTAATGAGTGATATATGTAAATAGCTGATGACATGTTACTCTAAGTGAAAATCGAATGTACAAGGGATTTTACTCTTCTCTGTGTTATCTTGACACATCAGCTTATAGTACATCAATCTCCTATTTCCAGTATAAATATTTTTCCAGAAAATTTATTAGTTTAGATTTGGTGGAATGCGAAAGAAGATCCAAGTGATGAATATAGATATTTAACTTGTTCATATATTTGGCTATGAATAATTGCAAATGCTACAAATGACACTATTTATGAGATTGGAATTTCAGTTATTTACAAGAAATGCTACACAAAAAAGATTCTAGAATTTTACTATAATTGCTGTACTTTGAATATTTTATTGCATGTATGTATTCGAGTCTCAAGTCCAGGATATTCGATAATAGTGTCTATATTTTATTAGAAGAGTTTCATTACGGTGCAAAATACACGTTTAACAATACTGAAATTTACAATCAACATCTACAATTGGAAAAGTCAGTACGTCAAGTATTAACAAAGTTACAGATAGATTGTCAGGTGCAATATGAGGGAGATTCAGTTGACAAGATGGGCAAATACTATATAATTAATGCATTTAGTGTGATAGCTGGTGACTACTTTATTCCTGGGATGCACCTTCATTAAAAATCAAAGGATTACTATTCAACTGAAGTTCACCAATATAAGTTTCTAAAGAATAGTTCAGTTAATCAGATCACCTATGAGGAAGAGTGCCAGAAAATAGCAGATAAAAAGGATATGATACACCAGCAGAAAATCTGAAGTTGATCTTCCAAAGTTGTCAGCTATTGCTGATCGAGACTGACTGCTGGGACACCTACTGTTACAGGTTAGGGACCGATTATATAAATTAACTGCTAACCTGTAACTTGGATGGGAGAAACAAGTTCGACTAAGATTATTTTATTATTAATTTTTTTAAAGGCCCGTGCCAATATCTTCAGATATTGTTTTATTCAATCATCAGTTAGATTTCGTTCACGTATTCACAAACGTTAATAATACATTCACTTTTTTCTGGACAAAACATAACCTTTCTAAATCATAGTCGTTATGATTGTTAAAACAATTATCTCACTTTTTCTAGATCAAAAGTGGCAAACCTCTTTTCAACAATGAATTATTAGGATGAAGAATGAAAAGGCACTATAAGAACTTATTGTACAGTACGTAAATAATTATATTTTTAAAGTTTTTATTGCTTTATTGCCAATTCTTTCTTTTGATTGCTTTTCCTCGCTCTCATTATATACATTTTTTTATTTCATATTATTGAAGAAATTACAGTGAAATTTACGGTGGAATTTGCGATATAATTAGAGTTGATTGATGTAAATAAAGAAATAGAAAAAAGAAAAAAAATGCGTTTCTAAAAAAGATTTAGTGTTATCAGTGTAATACTACTTTGAACCCTTCGCTGGCTGGACGTTTCACTGTGCTAAATGGAATAGGCACTGTGCGCGCCAATGAACTAATATGTAACCGGCCATTTGGAAATTTAGAAACATTCCCCGAAATATTGTTGAGTCATTTCAATTTAATCGCTAGTGGAAAAGTAATAAATTTGTTGAAATTCTCAAACACCTGTCTTCAGTGTCACATTTCATTACCATTATAGGATCACGCTGACGAAATCATTTTATTTCATATCGATATCATTTATAACGATGCTGATATAATTTCTTAGTTTCATATTACTGTATTCTATTTCATTTCTACTATGGTGCTGAAAGTCTATACTCAACAATCACGTGAGATCTTTAAAACGCATCAACTTTTGTAGAAATGATATTTTAAAAAACTGACCGGTAACTTTGTTCTTTTTAATGAGCTCTATAAAGTTACCGGTCAGTTTTTAAAATATCATTTCTACAAAAAGTTGATGCTTTTTAAAGATCTCACTTGATTGTTGAGTATCCAGCACCATATAACTCGGGGTTACTCAAAAAGAGACTATATCAATAATCTATTAATTATTTGCTGAAAATATTTATGATTACATCTTCGTTTTTATATCCTTCACTTTTTATATAGGCCCATCTTTTTGTCAAACGTTTTGATTTAAAAACTTATAGATTTACAATCAGCGTTATGTGACTTGCAAATATCGAATTGGTTCTTTTTCGCAGAGTTTATCAACTTTGTTTTCCGGCAAAAAATGCATGCCTCTTCGTATATTTTTCTCATTATGCATTTTTATTATTTCTCCGAAGCTTGAAAGTGTTAATTCTGGAGATGTAGCTTGAGTGTAAGACAATAATTTATTTCTTCAGGCAATCGATAATTTATAGATACGTAGGTTGTTGGTACGTAATTACATCAATTTTTTTATGAGTTCTGTCTCATTTTTCATGCATAGAAATCGATGTTACTCTTCTTACACACACAAATGGAAGTCAAAATAATAACGATAAATACCTCTTCTTATCGTTTAATGCATGTTGTGGACGTAATGTGTTCCTGCGTCTTTTTTCATGTATAAATCGATTTACAAACATAACGATAACAACTTCCACACATATAAATCATTTTTAAAGAAAACACATAATTACTAATAAAATAAACTCAAAGATTGCATTTAAAACTTCGAATACTCATGGTTGTAATAAATGTATGGTCATTTTTATGTTCAGTTCACAATATTCATTGTAGTAAATGTATTCGTTGTCAAAAAACGAGTACTGCATTGGATGCTATAAATATCACAAACGAAATTATAAAACTGCATGGTTTAGTGGAAATAAAGATATTGACAGCCTAGTAAAAGAATGTGTGGAAATTGGAGAATATTTTGAATCTCTAGCAAAAGGAAGTTTTGGATCAATTTATAAATCAACAAGTGGGGCCATAAAAAAAATAAATTTAAATGAGGGATGCTGTGTTGAAATTATTACACAATTACATCTGAGTTTAAGAATGAATGCTAGATAGTAGACCTACAGTGGTTCACATGTAACGGAACACGAAAATAACTTTCTAGAATTTTTATTTCCATGACTACTACATGTATTAGTTCGAGCAAAATATAAAAGTATTCATTTGAAATCTTGAAACCACTAATATTTTTTTAAAAATAATTTGACAACAGATTATTTTGTGAAATAGAGTGATTTAAATCAAAATTTACAATTAGTAAATTCTCACATTGAACAACTTTTTTTATCCTAATTTGAACCACTGATTAAAAAATGTTCTACTCTGAAATCTACCTATTTACCAATTTTCATAGAAATTGGCCCAAAATTCACCGAGATTTGAGACCCCCGAAGGACCGAATCTATGCTAGGAACATTAATTCATGTATTAATGCTCCTAGCATAGATTCGGACTTTAGATCTTAAATATCTATAAAAATTAAGCTGATTTTTATGAAAATTGGTAAATAGGTAGATTTCAGAGTAGAACATTTTTTAATCAGTGGTTCAAATTAGGATAAAAAAAGTTGTTCAATGTGAGAAAGATCTTGGAGAAACGCAAATTGCTGCCGAGATGCTAGCCTGATAAAATTACGGATCAGATTATGTTTGCTGTTCGCATTATCTCCACTTACGTTTCACAAGACTGTAGTCCCTGTAACATATTGGCAAGAGCTTGGCTTACGACAGAAACAGTCAGTTATGATTGAAGATGGCCGAGGAATAATGGTAAGCAGGTCTAGATTCAGATGGGAGACAAGCAGTGCTAACAAGATTAATCAATTTCTTTTGCAGTAGATAAAAAATAGATATGATAGCATGATAGGATTAGCTTAGGAGCACTTCGTAGTTTAATTTTATATGTTTTTAGTACAATTTATTTTAATAAAGCATTTCAATTTATTTATGCTAAACTAAACTACGTAATAATTTTTATGCAGCGTTTGTGGCTTACAATGATGAGTATTTATAATATCATTGTTTTATTTAAAACTTTGAAATGATGGGTAAATAAACGTGGTCCAATGCCATAAAAGTACAACTCGATACACTGATACGAGGACTAATTAAAATCTTGATGACAACCCAAAACTACTAAAAAACTTCCTCGATATAATAAATTCCCGATATAACGATATTTTTATTAATTATCCTCGACCTATCGTTATATCTATCTTTTAATGTAACTTGCGGCGAAAAAATATTAAAGATAACGATGAGGTTCTGTTCATTAAATAATGATCATATAATGAATAATTTTCATTTATTTAATACAATTGATATAATTATTGTAGCATAAGATTGCTTTCGCTTTGTGGATCATCTCTAACGCTGAAGTTTTTTGATGATGCTAACAAAT